ATTTCTTAATTAAAAAATATTTGTTCTACAAGTCATTTTATCATTTCAATAATGTTATGGTAGACTTTGAGTATTCGCTTAAACCCTTATCCAACGTTGATTACAATGATTATTTATGCATTCATAATATGTGCCATAAACTAGCCGTATCGCGTAATGTTACAATTACTAGAGGCATTTATAACTACAACACAGACGATAATTTTCAATGCTACAGCCGAGTATGCAGCGCTGGTCAAACAAATCACTTGTTGTTTGTGTCGCTATAACAAACAGCGAATCATTTAAAATTTTCCTTTCTAAATGATGTAAGCAATATTATTTTTAAATTAAAGCAACACTTCTGTTTGTTTTGTATATTCTGAAAGGTATGATAATTTGGTTTTTTTACGTGGTAGAGCTAAGGTGTAGTAGCCACTTACCATCTAGTGGAATGAAGGTCACACACTAGTCACTTCAGTTTTATTAGAAAAACTAATAAATATATATATATATATATATATATATATATAAATATACATATATATACACATATATAAATATATATATATATATATATATATATACATATATATATAATCCAAAATCTCAGCAGTACCGGAAACGATGCTGCTACATTCGGTCTTCAGCTTTGACAGTCAGCTTTTTCTGGCAGACAGATCTCTGGCAAAGATTTCGGAGCCCTGGTTCCACTCGATCGCTTCTTCAATACAAGCTGTATTGAAGTTGCGTAATTCCCGTCGCATGCATTTGGAGATCTGTCTGTTCAGTTGCCTGTATGCTTCGTTTCTCGTCTAACAACCATGAGATTAAGAGTGCGATCGGAGAATTTTTGTGTTCTTCTGCGGTGGGTCTTATAGAACTTAGCTCCGACCGCATGAACAGTTTCTACGAGCTTGTCATTCATATCATCCACTGAATTGCAATCTTCTGGGCACTGAAAACTGTTTTGTAACTCGAGCTGAAAGGTTTCGGGACTTTGAATTAGACCACGAGGGGTACGGAGCATTGACTTCATTAGACAAGACCTCTTCTACTTAACGTTTAGGTTCAGTATACTTCTAACCATTCGGTGATCGCTACCAGTTTTCATCCTAGCGACACTGAACATCGACACATCACTGAACAGTTGCCACTTATTCTTCATAAGCCATATAGCATAAAGCTCGCCTTTTGTACAAATATTTACTGCAATAAAGAATAAATAAATAAATAATGAAGTGAATCTCATTTTTGTCGAACCGTCGGGGCACGACCAGGTCCACTTCCTGTATGGCCGCTTCTGAAAGAAAGGGTAGAATGAAGGACTGCACACTTATCTATTCCCAGCTCCATTCTAATAAAGTTTCTAAAATCACAAGTGATTTTTAGTAATTCCATACGCTGGCAAGGATTTTATGCGAACAATTTGAGATCATTCATATAGCAAAAGTGGGTCACTTTTATACTTCCTTTCTTGAAACCTTCTTCCGGAGTCCTCTAGTAAGGTACTGAGAGGGTTGAGGGAGAGGCAACACCAGAATGTACTTTAAAAATTGCCCTGAAAGATACCCCTTCTTATCCTTATGCGGCTTTTTGCATCCGTCATCCAATCGCCTAGATGAAAAAGGACTACGTATTATAACAGTTACGAACTTACTATTATTATTATTATGTGGTATTTATAAAGTTTTCTCATCCGGTTGGGCTGTATAAATATATAAATGAAAATAATAAATGTCTAAAAATTGTGTATGGATGTCGATATTATTTTGATGTCTCGTAAAGCTCAAGTACCAAGTAATGGTCATAACATGGGAGAAGTAACCGGTTTATTTTTTTTAAATTTATTTAACAAATTACAGATAATACAGAGAATATATTATGGTACAACGTAAGCTTACTGAAAACTTTACCGTGTACCACAAGCCGCCGACTTAAAATTTGACAGATAAGCTACACCTTACGGGTTCGAACCTGTCCATCCTTTGGCTACGCGTAGACAGCGATGACCATCCGTGTGTCTACAGGTGCCGCTATAGGTCCCATAGCGGTAATGCCGAAACAGACCGACTCATCGACCACGTCCAAATGGCTACAGATTCCTTGCTACAACAGGTCCCATCCGCAGAGATCGTGATCCTTGGCGATTTTAACGCCCACCATGCCGAATGGCTCGGTTCACGTTTAACCAATCATGCGGGGAGATCTGTTTATGACTTTGCCTTGGTGTGACACAACTGGTTACATTGCCTACGCGGATTCCAGATGTTGAGGATCATACACCTTCCCTGTTGGACCCTATGCTGACCTCTCATCCGGACGGATATCAGGTTTCCGTCGATGCCCCTCTTGGCTCTTCGGACCATTGTCTGATCCGGAGTGTGGTGCCACTCACGCTCCCCTCGCGGTTGCGTTCTGCAGGTTGCCGCCGTGTTTGGCATTACAGGTCGGCGGATTGGGACGGAATGCGGTCTTTCTTTGCTTCCTACCCATGGGGCGGGTTTGCTTTTCGCCGGATGATCCCAGCGCTGTTGCTGACTCTGTCACTGATGTGGTGCTACAGGGAATGGAACTATTTATTGTATTACTATTTGAATGTTTGACTGGCACAATTAAAAGTTTTATCACATGACTAAATGATTGACTTTTATATTATAATAAGGTCATGCCTTTCTATAAAAAGTTGCAAGAAATTTTAAATCACGGACCTATTGGTTTGTTTTACTTTTCACTTAATTAGTGAAAAACAAGATGGACTGATCTAAAAGTTTACTTTCTTGTGTAAAAAGTGTATGTATGTGTCATGTAATTTATTGTGGCTTACGTATAAGAAATAGGCATGTG